CTCATTACTACGTGTCTAAAATTTTCATTGATTTAGAGCTCGCGTTCAGCTTCTGTGAATTTTCAAGTTTTAGATGAGAAGAAAAAGTGGCTCGAATCTGCACACTCGCCTCTAAAAATTCCCATCAACCAAACCTTAGCCAATAAAAGGCTGCAATTTTGGGTGCCCGCACCCGAAGCCTTCGTTATGAAGTGTCCAAAATTTCAATTGATTTGGAGCTCGCGTTCAGTTTCTGTGATTTTTTAAATTTTCCGTAGACAAGAAAAGTGTTTACGATCTTCACCCTCGCGTCCAAAAATTCGCAACTTTTAAACTTTAGCGATTATCAAGATGCAGTTTTGGGGATTTGTAGCCGAAGCCTTAGTTATTACTGCGCCAAATTTCAATCGATTTAGAGCTCGCGTTCAGTTTCTGAGAATTTTTAAATTTTCCATAGACAAGGAAAGTGTTTACTATCTTCACCCTCGCAGCCAAAAATTCGCAACTTTTAAACGTTGGCGAATATCAACCGGCATTTTTGCGAAAGTATTCATAGCCTTAGTTGTGAAATGTTCAAAATTTCAATTCTTTTGACTGTTTTCATTTAAATTCTGTGTTTTTAAAACAGCCAAAGTTAGAACTCGCGTTTTTGCTACTACCTGAAATTCTTCACTGAGGGCCGATTGAACGAAAAACTGCAATGAATCAGCGCCAAGACGTTCCAACGGCAAATTGGCGCCTAAAAGCTCATTAAATTTCAAAAGATTTGAAACTTCAACTAATTATAGCGTTGTTTAGTGTTATGAAAGCGGAAGAACCCATTAGAAGAATGTCTCGAATAGTGGCAAATGTGCCAAGGTTAGCGTTCACTTTAAACAAATGTATGTGTGTAGGTTTGTTTAATATTGTTTATAATGTAACTGGTTTATTGCCCCGATAAACAAACCGCGACTGTTTAGGGCTCAAAACATTATATAAAGTCGAATGTTTGATAAACAACCGATTATGGGCGGTTTTAAGTAGCGAAATGTGGCAGGAAAAGACACTATCGAATAAATCACGTAATGCACATTTTGCCTTGGACCGATTTATCAACAATCCAATATGCAAGACGCCAATTACAACAATCTCGAATGAGCTCATAGATTTTTTTAGTCTAAAGCCCCGCTTTCTGTGTAATCAGAGTAAACAGTTTTTGTACTTTTTCCTTATCTATATCGGAATTTTGCGGCCGGTTCTCTTATCTATAAAACGCCCCATATCTCAGCAATGGAAGAATACTATGGACTTTTCGAGCTCCGCTTTCAAGTGCGGGTTTTCACTATTGGGGATTTTCAGAAATTTATAACCTGTAAAACAGTAGAAGCCAAAATGTGAGAGTTTTCACTAGTGATTGCACACTCTTTTCGTTCTCATGGAAAACTTTAAAATTTCCAGAAAGTAAACGGGAGCCTTAAATCAATTGAAATTTTGAACACTTGCTAACAAAGGTTTTAACTACAATTACCCAACATTTCAACTTTTTATGCGCGAAAGTTTAAAATTTGCGAATTTATTGACACGAGGGTGCAGATTGGAGCGATTTTCCCTTCTTGTAGAAAATTACAAAATTCCCAGAATATGAACGCGAGCTCTAAATCAACTGATATGTTGCCGTGTTTTACGATTAGGATTTTCTGAAAATTCCTAACCTCTAAAGGAGAAGAAGCCAAAATATCAGAATTTTCACTGTATTTCGGGCACGGTTGAAAATTTCCAGTGGGTTTTCGAAACTTTGATGGCGGCTCAAGAGAGGTCTTTTACTATTAGGGATTTTTCAGACATTCCTAACCCCTAAAGAGATTGAAGCCAAAATGTGACAATTTTAACGATATCTCGAGTACAGTTGAAGATTTCCAGCAGGTTGTCAGGAGCTATCTTTTAGCCTGCCTCAAAAGACGTTTTTTACTATCAGGGCTTTTCCAGAAGTTCCTAACCTCCAAAGAGTTAGAAGCCAAAATGTCAGAATCGACCCAAATAGGGTTGAAAACATCGCCTCTTTGAAACCCACAGATCGTAAATAACAGTAAATTTCCTTCCAGATTCTTTTGGTATCAAACAACCGGCTCGCAGCCCTGCCAGATGATTTATACAAAATGTCGCATCTGACCGAGCTGGACGCGTCCTGCAATCAAATCACACATTTCCCGCCGCGCATGGGCGAGTTACGCGCCCTCCAATCCCTAGTATTACGTAGCAACCTCCTATTGGCTGTGCCCATCGAAGTAACGTACTTAAGACTGATGCGATTGGACCTGAGGGCCAATCGGATCGGCACTTTGCCGATCGAGATGCGCGAAATGGACTGTCTGATCGATCTGCTGGTCGACGAGAATCCACTCACCAGCCCGCCAGCCAGCGTGAGTAAATCGAACCGCCATTTTTGAGGCCTCAATCTGATTTGTCTGCTACTCACTTTGCAGTTGTGCAAGCGAGGCCGAGTGCACATTTTCAAGTACTTGGAGACTGAGGCGATGAAGATCGCCAGTAAGACTGGCGGAGGCACGGGGACTTTGGGCAGACGGTCGAGAAAAGGGGGCGCCGGCTCGCCTGGGCCCCCTCACTTGGTCAATCGGTTGAAGCAGAAGAGGCACAATGTAGATAGCGGGTACAGTACGAGTAGCGATGGGTGTGAGAAGCGATGGTCTCAAGAGTTAGCAGGTTGGGGACTGGGTGGGTTGATTGAAAATGGGGGGTTTTAGCTGCGTTTTTGTCTGCAGGCGAAGAAAAACAGTGGCCTTTGACGCCCATCCTCGGCAGGACGGTGGACCAGTTGGGCGCGAGGTCTTCGACCACATCGACACCTTCTACGATCTCGCCAGCGCCTCCGGAGGCGATTGAGGAGGATTTTGCCAAAAACAACGACTTTGACAAGTTGGATGGGCAACGAAATGTTCGAGAGCTGCACAAGTGAGTTATTCGGCAGCAAGTTGAAGTTAAGGCTTTGTGCGCGGTTTTGTCAGCCCATCTTCCCACCTGCCAGACTCATCAATTCAAGGCCGTTTCCTTTTGCAGGAGGAGGATTTTCTACATGTTCTTTGCCCCTTTTCTTCACCTCTTAGTTTTAATCTTCGCGTGTATTTATCGAACAGATAGGTTCTAGCA